TCGTGCAAAGCTATAATGAGTAGTAGAGATGAGGAGCTTGCCGAAGCCTAGAGGGGCGAAGGAGCCAGGTTGGGTCAGTCAGTGTCGAGTTCGGTACATCAGCTTGGGTCAAATTAATCACAGTTTTTACACGAAGGACCCTTCAAAAGCATAGGTATAATTTGGTACTCCGTCTGAAATGGTGGCAGGTATTATAAGTGGCAAAATGGCGGAAAAAACGATCAGTCAGAAACCTGCCAATAAAGCATTTCTTCTACAAAACTCAGGAACCAAGTTCGGCGAGTTTCGCATTGGCATCGTCCCAGTAAGCGTTACGGTAGATACAGCGCATACGTAAACTCCTTATCCCTGAGACGGAGTAGGCGTGGCATTTGAAAATGGCCTAGAAGAGGTTACTCGTGGGATATTTCAGTTTGAGACAACTGTCATCTTGTTCTGTGTTGGACAGAGACATGACCACAATTGTGTCAAAATGAAAATATCTCACCAAAAGCACAGCCACCGCCACGTTCAGCTGAAGTACGCAGCCACGCCTACCGCATCTCAGGGATTTCATATCAATCCCTTTGATTCATACTATACATCGTAAATGAAGCGATAGAAGCATCAGCATCGGTCGGACATTTGCGGACGGGCGGGCGCAGTGAGGCGTCCGCGGTGTTTTGTAGCTTGATAGGGCGCTAGTACAGGCGCTAGTACCTTCTTAGGAAAACATGCCGCGCAGGGCCTGCTCAGGGGCGCCGAATTCTATCCTGCTAGGCGCATTAATCCTGCACGTCTTGGGAATTTATCGTGTCACTTGCTTTTGAACCGCTTAAGTAGCCATTTTTACTTTTTCTTTGTTGTTCCTTCCATAAGCGAATGCATTCTAGTCCCTTCTTACAACTTTCTGTGGCAGTCCACTGTACGCTTCTCCAGAGATCATCAATGGCACCCCTTATAAAGGCCCTGAGGTAAGCATTCTCATTACATACGTCACACTTTGTCACTCTCAATACTTGCTATTTGAGGTCGATTGTTGGTCGCTGGGTATTCTTCTCTACACACTCGTCTACGGTTCGATGCCATTCGATGGACGGGATTTCAACCGGATGGTCCGACAAATCAAGCGCGGCGCTTACTACGAACCGGACACTCCATCAAGTCAGTTATTGGCCTGTTTAGTCAACCGCCATTTCTCAAGAAAAGAGTTTGAGACAATACTCTTCGGGGAACCTCCCAAAACTCTTCCATTTGCAAATAGGAGTGCTGAGATATAAAAACGCCTCTTGTCTATATATCATCCATATCTCGCAGTTGGACAAGGCGTCTCATGACGAATGAGCTATGGGGCCTGGGTAAGTCACCAGACTAATCAGCTGTTCCTAGAGGTCTTCAATCTCGAGTACTGAGTAGCCCTTTCCTAATCGTCTCAGAGGGGGGGGGGTTGAGTTATATTGAGGTGCAATCCAAAAATATTCAGTCAACGTACCAGTGCTATCTCACTAGAACAATTCGATCACTCTTGCTCTCATTGGAACCGCGACATACGAAGGATATTTCCAACATTGGGTCCTGAGTCCTGACCCCAGGTGGTACGCATAGGGAGATATCTTTGTGAGCCGCGATACTGAATGATTCACAATTTGAAGTTGTTTTTTATTGCGATAACTGCGAGCCGCGGTGTTGAACACAGGGCATAGCTATGAGTGATGTATGAAACTGCGAGTGCGGTCAGTGCGCCCCCCCCCTCCTTTCCAACGGAGACCCCAGGTATGACCCCTTCCCTCTCTAATTTTTGATTCCAAAGAAAAGGATTAGATACGGAACGATCTCCAAGCGCGAGCAACCATGTTGCAATAGCGCAAATCAGCGCTGGAGCAGGCCTTGACAGGAGTGCGGCTTTTGAGAAAGTGAAGGTGGCATGTCAAAGCGTTCATTCTCCATCAATTCATACCACCAGCAACCCGAATCTTTGCGTGTTCGAGGAAATATTTTGGATGGGTGCTAGATGGGTTGGATCGCACGCGAGTTTTTATGTTTCGGACAACAATAACTTCTTTCGAGCGCAATCTTTTCGAAACCAAAATTCACTTCACGTAGCCCGATCTTTACCATTTCAAAAAGTGCTACAGTTTACCTGAAAACTCGCGGATTTAGAAGGTATTTAAGATGAGTCTTTAGTGAGCGAAATGGTGAGCCGTTTAAAAACTTGACTCCCTCTGCGTCATTATGACAACACTCATTCAAAAACTTCAATATGTCTTCGAGTACAAATCCCCTCGGACAAAGTGAAAGCATAGCTTGACCATCACTGATCGATTTTGCCTCAGTGTACGCCTTGCATTACACTCCCACGTGAGGAAGTGTAAGCTCTAGAGCTAAGCGATTTTGCTCATGCAAACAAATGTTGGGAAAGGACCTGTCTGTGTTGTATCATCTAGCTAACCACTTACTTACAGTTTGTGCTAGCTATAGTGTAGTTCTCTGCGGACGGTTGGGCGTGTCAGTGCGGCTGCGTTTGGCGCGGTGCCAAACTCGTTCTCCACCAGTTGTTGAAGCGGGCAAGTGACAATACTGTATCATATCCTTCGTATTACTCGTTTTCTACCACTTTTTGTCGCATGCGCATTTCAACAAGAAGGCAGAGAACGGCCTTAACTGGGTGACACACTCTCATACTGGCTAACACGCCCAACCGTCCGCAGCGAACTAGGGTGTATGGGTAGTGTTGGTGAATCGTTTTGATAATTCCGTAGCCTTCCACATATACAGCCTCTCTTCAGTGCTGGATTCCTTCTCCACAAAGCTTAGCGATGAAACTTTTGCGCTATCGTCGACACTGCGCTTACGCCTAGTGCGACGGGCTCGCTCACACTGCCCGCGACCAAGTGGAGAACCTCGATGGGTTTCGCACAAGGAAGCTGTATCCTGGTTGAACGGCACTTATCAAAAAAAACACTCAAGAGATTTTTCAGTAGTGTTAAAATTTCCTTCCTTCGGACCTGATGAGAAAGTCGAGTCTTCGTCTTTCTATCGAACATATTTCTTGAGAGCCGGATAAAGGACCGTTTTTAGCATACAGTTGACGATACTCCTGTAATTCCTTACACGGTGACAGTTTCAGCAGCATCGATGCTGATTCGCAACATGTTGCGAGTGAATCCGGAACGTCGTGCTGACATCTTTGACATCGCCAGCCATTGGTGGTTGAATCTCGAGGAGAATATGCCTGTCATTCAAGAACTGCCAGAAAATCAGGTACCTTTCATGTTCGGCAGTTCGGCAGTGCCAGATGATTTCCTTTCAAACACAGATTTTTTTGAGATATACTAGCAATAATTCTGTTCAGATAACCGACCTTACTCCACTGACGGAAAGAGCCGAGACCATGGTTGTCCAGGTTGGTGTTGTATCCACGAAAATTTCACAAATGAGTGGGCTCGCCACTATGAACAATGAATCCTCCAAGTTTTTGGGCCCAGAGTGAAAGATAGGGGTGGGGAGGGTGATACAGGGGATTCTGTAGATTACCGTCAACTTGGCCTTTATTTAAGGAGTTCTTCAAATTGTATGCAGAGCGATAACAAGTTTTCGTCTGGTAAGGCCACTGCAGTATTCGAAAATAAGCAAAAGGTAAGGTAAGGAAGGTGGTGGAAGGGGGAAGGGTGAGGAGGGGGAGCAGAAACGATAGTTCCATGGGAATTAGGATTCTAGCTCAATTCAGGAAAGCAACTCCCGCTAAGAAGCAACACGATGTAATTGGCTCGAACCTTACCGGAGTTTCTACATCTTAGGATTAGGTGAATGTCTTAATCCCTCCAGTTTGAAATCGTTTCTTGGCACCGTTCAGTATTAAGTGCGACAAAATAAAAAAAAACAGAAGCAATGGCATGGAAATAAAGCTTGTCCCGCTACTTAGCTTCACAAGGAATTCTCACGATCTACCTCGACCCTTTCACAGGAGGTAATCCAACCAGCGCCCGGTTGAAGTTCTTTTTTTCAAAACAAAACCAAAATTAAATCAGTTTGCTCGATGAGTCAGAAAGACGAGCAAGATATGCAGTGAGCCTCGAGCAAGCGTGAAGTAATGAATGCTTCAGGATTTGCTGAGAACAGCTGGACGTCTTTATGGAGTTTGGTCACCTCAGCAATGAAACGCGAAAGAAGATCGAAGAATTCCGGCGACGTCGAAAGCAGGCTGAAGAGTACAACGAGAATTCTCCTGTCAAGCCACCAAAGGTAGGAGCCTAAATGCTATGTCTAATAATGGGTAAGCTTCTTATTTCTGCTTGGAAATGATGAACTCGATTGCAGGCGGCTCGAAAGGATGGCGAACAAGTGGCTGAAATGAAGAGTGAAGATAAGAGCCTGAGAGGACTGAAGGAGACAGCCAAGGTGATATTTCAGAATTAACTTTTACCATTATTTACTCTCAACTTTTAAATATCAGGAAAAAGAAACCGACGACCCATTGGAACGTTTACGGCAGATCGAAAATCGTCTTGGGTCCAAGGAAAAAGAACACTCTCAGTAACGTACCACAGACAGTATGTATACTACTTTATCACCTTCAGCTCACAGTGTTACAGGAAGTAAACATCTCCAAGCGATAGGAAGTTGGTAAATACTTATATAAGTTCTGCTCAACATCGCCTCCTCGCTGGGAAATTTCAGTGGAGGAGGTCACATGTCGGGTTGTCGTCGGGAAAAGGATCGTTCGTTCTGACCGTGGTTTGACCCCCTCCCGCTCGACAAAATTTTGGGGAGAAAACTGGGAAATCCCTGGGGAATTTCCGGGAAAAGCGGGAGGAGGCTCGAAGAAGTTTGCAGGAGAGATAAGATAGCAGTTAAGATGGAGAGGGGAGGCGGGTCATAGCAGAGGACGAAACTGGGTTACTTTCTTTCCCCCCAGCGACAGGACGTGCACTGGGATTGATTGGCAACTGGTGATTAGTAAAAACCTCAAGTACCTGTGATTTGGATTCCTACGGCGCTAATCCCACAAGTAACGGTCTTATCATCGCTACCTGATCAAAAATTCCTGTTGAAAATCTCTTTTCCATTAGACCTACGTAATAACTGTTTTCCGTATTAACTGCAAAGCTCCTGAGTTCCCTTTTAAAGGCCTCACCTGAAAAAGAAGTTCCGACACCGTCCAAGCCGCAGGAAATGCCGTCGTCAGCTAAAGCAACCGGAGCTACCCAAACAGTGGAACAGAAGCGGCGTACGTCTCCTGAACAGCCAGAAGATCCGAAACCCGCTCCTACACGAAATGAGTAAGATTGTTGCCGTATAGAACAACACGCAGTCATCTGTTTATTGTCTCCATTTCAGACCTGCTGTTCGTATACCGGCTAAACAAGAAGCTGCTTCTCGCGCTCCGTCGTTCGTACCAGTAACGAATGAACCAGAAACGGTTGTCGCTCCCACGAAGTGAGCTCAGCTTTTAAAGATAAATCCGCTGTTGCGCTGACTAGTTGAGGCTACATAAGCTGTTGTTTTCAGACGACTCGCTCCAACTCCTCGGACGCCAATGTCTGCTGCTGCGTATCGACTCGAGATCGACTCACTGAATATGCTGATGAATCAGGTGAGTTCATGCTGGTTTTGTTAGAATGTTCCAACAGCCATTGTGCTTCAGGTGCTTGAGCAAATGGAAAAGGGACCAGTCAGCCTGAATCTCGTTGCCAGAATCAAGGCACATCCGATGTACGATGCAAGACCAATGGTAAAAGAACTGTTGGAGAGTATCATAGGTTCGTCATCAGCTGGTCAACCTGCAGAATCGTTCAACGGTTCGATTTCAGCTGCTCAGCCGGAACAGGTGCAACGTGAGACGAGCAAACTCGTCCAGCAGAGGAGTCAGGTAAGTCTACAAAGCAAAAAAAAATCGATAATCGAGGACTTTCTATTTCATCTAACACAATCTGCATGTCTTCTCGATCCCGCTATTCTTTAAGGAAGTTGCTAGGAAAAACCAACAGAGAGCATTCGACGTGCCGAAAGCGCCCGTCGCTCCTAAGAGGCCCGAGAAACTTTCTCGATCAGGATTTGGAGAACGGCCATGGCACAGCGTCGAGGTAAATCCATCTCTCCTTCTCTCACGTTCTGTAGAGACTGAGATGAAGCCGAAAGAAATGAGAGCGCGATGTAGTGAGGCTTCCACTAATAAGTCTATTTCTCACAATCGATACCGTTCCTGTCGGAGTAGTAGGTCACTTCCCGGACAGAGAAGCGGCTCGAATTTCGCATTCTGCCTTCTCATATCCTTCAACTAGTTATCGGCTAACCATTAGTTTGCTGTGATCGATCTCCATGGTAATTTATAGGTTGGCTTCGATCCGGACGAGGACTCAGAACTGGAAGCGAGCCATCAGATGTCCGTCGCAAGCGCTGCTACTGATGTCACGGTGCAGGTAATTGTTAGAGCGCAATAAATAGCCCAAGGTTTGTGTAATTAACCTTAAAGGGTAATTATCTTGCAGACCACCTCATTCGAGGATAGTGACGATCAGGCCGAGCCTCCACCACCACCGAAAACGCCGATCTTAGCAGAGACATTGAACGAAGAAGAGGAGGAAGCAGATTCCGAAGATGAAGAGGACTACACTGATAGCGAAATGGAAGAGCTGGCCGAGGAGGTATGTGAAACCAAGATTTCCTGCTTCACCAGATCGGATACGCTTCCGTTCAGGTCGAGCAGAAGATCGTGGTGGAGCAGTCGGATGCACTGCCTCCACCCGATCCAGTTGTTGTGCAGCCGCAGTATCTCGATGCCTTCGACCGTGGCCTAGTGAAACGGCAGAGTAAAGGGAAATATCAGGTATGCGGTCGCTTTCGCACGGCGACCCCCACCTTCCTCCTTACAAAGCTCCTCAGTAGACAAAGTTTTGCATGCATGAAGCGTAGAAAGTAGACTTCTTCTATTCTTTGTGCCATTTGGACCAAGTTCTGTATGTGAACTCGGTTCCGCTGCAGCGATAGTTGTTAGTAAGAGGGCTGCATTGTTTGCACTAGCATAGTCGAGTTGAGCTCGTTTGTGCTGTGTTTGCAATATGTTTCCTTCGAGGCTGAACTTGATAATATTCTCCTGTGCCAATGAGGTTCTTAGCCGGGATTTTTGTTATAGACCTAACGTTTCAACCGGATTATTGTCCTCATAGGCCAAATTCACCGCGGCATGAGCGGATGAGGGCGCTGTGCATGCTGTCAGTAATAAATGACATTGAATGGCCTATGATGAAAATTCCATCTAAAAACCTCGTTGGCACAGAAGAATATTACCAAGCTCACGAAAATGACAAGAAAGAAGCTGGAGACAATTTCGAAGCTGAATCTCGTTTTGTCGAGCAACCCATGCTGCGAGCTAATGCGCGAATGGATGTGATTATCACCAAAGAGCCTTCAGCTGTAGACGCCGCTTTATTGGGCCCCCCCCCCCCCTCCCCCCGCCCTCCTCCTCTATCCAACTGGACTTGATAGTGAGTATGGACAGTAGATAGTTGCCGATTCAGGCTACAACGTCGGCGGAGTTGGCGGAAGGGCGCGGATGCTACGAGGAATCTTGATACACCTTTGAGCCATCTTTGCCTGGGCCAGCGAGCGCCTACTGCCGCTGCCACTCTTGAGCGAGTGCGTGGACGCCCCGTCTCCACTGCGAAGATATGGTTTGCAATACATACAGTGCTAATCGCAAGGCTGTGCGGGGCGGGGTTGCGATAGTGCGAGGGTCCAGACGTAAGGTAAGAGAGGAGAGTAGGTATGGGAATAAGGAACTGTCGCTGGGACACCAAGCACGGCCGTGAGCTAAGCACCATAGCAGCTTGTCACAAAGTGTAATCGTCCCCCATCGATATCTGGGAGAGGCAGGGAGAGGCAACAACTTGCTAAACCCGCATTTACAGTGTGCCCACTGAGTAGACGGTGTGTTGCAATGCATCCCAACGGTCCATGTGTAGTGTCGAAAGCGTGAGTAACACATGATATTCTTCAAAAAACGGCATAGGATGGTAAACATAGGATAGCAGCCAACTGTGCGATGGGCACTGGCTCCGGCTGCTGCAGCAGCCTTCTCGTTCCGCGCCGAACATACCAGTTGAACTAAGCAGCTGAGAATCCTAGCGGCTAGAGCGCTTCGCAAACTATAAACGTGAAGGGAATGGAAGTTATGAAGGGATATCGATGCGACAGTTGCAATCATAACCTTACCCAACAAAAGACAAGATGATAGTTGTCTCGAACACGATACTCCTAGAAATATCTCCCAAATATCTCCGTTTTCATCTGAAGCAGCAGCCACGCCCCTTCCATCCTTGGTATGCACACGTATACCGTAGATGATGTGCGAGCCATAGGTGCAATGAATCTGATGACGTTTTGAAATCGAACCAGGAGGAATCGTACTGCAAAGCGCGCTACTCGATAGCGGTCCTCTGAACTTTGTCGGTCCGTTTATTCCACTTCCCGTTGTCCAACGATTTCTAGACCAAGTTCCTCGAAGGAGACCTACAGAAATCTTGGTGCCATTTGATGATTCGTTGGCACCCTCTGCCAAATTATGTCGAAATTTTGAGCTGTGCACCATCATCTTTGAACTACACCAACATTTTCAGACATTTCAATTCAGAATCTCATTTTTAAGCATAAACGAGCCCAGCAGCGACTGCATCGAGAGAAGAAGAAGGCCATAGCTGAAGCATGTTGTTTTCTTCTCTTTTCAAACTTTTCTTTTCACTTTTTTCTTTTATGAGTCTGCATGCATAGACCCGATGAGTTGTAGAATTTTCGTGGCTTTAGGCAGTAGAGTTTTGATTTTCATTTACTTTTTTTTCGTAGTGCTTGATCTAGCTACTTCTTGAGCGCCAAAGCCACACTAAGCACCCACTGCTGTAGAGCGCGGTTCTCCTTAAATTTTTATGTGTAGGTAGGTGTGATGAGGTCGGAAAAGGATATTCGTCGTTTTAGCACAGTCGCGTTGATATGTACGGTCGTGGCGTGTCGATGGAATGCGAATCGCCCACTCTCCCACGAAAACCCCTCGGGGGACCACAGCCCACCAACGAGCAATCACCTTTCCTCTTTGACAAAGTACGCACTGCATGATTGATTCATTGGTTTTTCTGTGCTTCTAGTTAGATTGAACGTTTCTCTAACAATTTCCTTGTTTTCCTTGCTTTCCTTTTCCTCTTTTTTCTTTACATTTTACAGAGTTGGACGATTATAAAGTTGAATATTTTCATTTTAAGCAGTTCTTCCGCAGATTCAGCTATATTTCAGGCGAAGAAGATCATTATGCAGTATCCTGGACGTCCGGATCTGTCAGAAATCGAAGATGGATTGGTGAAGAAGAAGTTCGTTGAAAAATTCCTCTGAAAGAAAGACTGGATTTAGTAAAATATATCTTTCATTCAGGAAGGATTGGCTAAAGACGCAAGATCCCGACCAGAATGGCGGCGGCAGTGATAACAGCATTACCCCAACACCAAGGTACCCTTTCAATCTTACATTATGCTTTCCATTTGACAGCTTTATATTAGGTTGGCGGGAAAGTTCTGTCACATTTTTTCAAATTAGACTTTCTTTTTACAGAGAGGCGTACAAGATCAAAATTATACAGCAATGTTATTGAGAGATCCTTGCCAGTTTTTGGACAGTTCGTGGATGCCATCGCTTAACAATGCACGCCGGCGCGACGCAAAGTTGGACATCATCTCAACTTTGACTTGGGCTCAAGTCGTGGAGGTTTTCTCGGCTGTATAACGGTTGAATACGGGAGGCGACTAGCAGTCAGAAAGAGCAATGTCTGGACTACACCGGTGCAAGGGGAGAGCCATCCAGCTCTATTGCATGAAGTACGGCTCGAACTTTTTTTGAAGGGGTGTGCTGCACCAGCACGTTGAAGACGGATTGTGTCGATGGATTTTGCCCTCTGCTTGACGATTCGCTTTAAATCTCGTAGCTGCCTTGCGTAAGGATTATCGAGGTGGGCAGCTTCTTCATCTGGTAGCTTTCCGCGACCCACGCCTGTTTCTAGAGTCTGCGTAATTACAGGTACTCCCGGAACATCACTTTCTCATCCAAAACCGAGACTTCCGCTCTGAAGAGCTAGCGTCGTGGAAAGATTGTCTGATGACTGTAGACATTGTCCTTGTGCAGCTCCTTTCGGCGTCGACAGCTGCCATGCTGGCGCCAGGGTGGTAGAAGAAATAGTTTAAGGAAGCGCTTGAAGGGGTCGGTGCTGAAGGTACCGGATAATATTCTTGTCCATAATGCAGAATAAGGATGAGCAGGAGCCGAGCCAGTGACACTATAGAAAGATCAATCCTTAATGTATAAATGCTCACATTACCGGTTAGCCCTCTTCAGGTAATAGGCGAATACTTGGGTTCAAAAAAGTATGACAGAACTTTCCCGCCAACCTAATAAAATTGTGAGCGGCCCCGCCACAGAGCGGGACAAACGCTGGAGAAGAAAAGAAGAAGAATTATAAAAAAAATGAAAGTGTGAAATGTGTCATTTAAAAAAAGTAGGTTGAGTCATTGCAACTCGGCAGTGGGCAGAAGAGGGAAAACAATGTTATGGGCCATGTCAGTATGCAGAAGGAGGACATTCAAGGATTCATTGTGCAAAGCGGAGATGGCCGTAATAGAGAATAAATTACTTGCATAAGCCTAGAGAAAACCAGCAACCAGCAGTAGGGGAGTGAACCATCCTCTAGTAAAATGGATTTGACAATAGGGTAACCTCAGTATTGTACAAAGTGCCTTTTGATTAAGAGAATGCTCCCGTCCTTGGCTTACCCTCGCCCATAGGTATCCTAGTCCCGAAGTTCCCTGTGTTCATGTCAGGAAATCATGTTGGAAGGTTTTTTCAGCTGTGTTGGTTCACTTCCACCCCGAACGCCGCCACTAATGGGAGAAGAACATGAGGAAGTTACGCACAGCGAGGACGAAGCGGTAAGTTATCTTACTTAGTGTTTCGCTTTCTTCGAGACTGAACTAGAACAGCCAAGCTAAATCTTCGTCAAGATCTCATCAGTGTTCTCAAAATCTGAGCTGTTCCAGTGCAGCCAGTCTGTCTGCAAAAAATTCCAAGTGATGAATAGCTGGTCACAATTCATCACAATGTGTATCCATTCACGTTGGTCGTGAGTAGGGATTTCCCAAGCTATAGGCAGATTCCGCGCTGACCGCATGGGCGTAGACAGGAAACTGCCTACTTTTCACAGCCCTGGAAGGAGAGCTGCACTAAATGTGTGAGTCCTTTGGATGGGTCCTTATCATCCATCTATACACCATATCCCGGAGATGGAATGGGCGTGATTGTGCCTCTGGCAATTTCGTCTTCGTTCGATGCATGTCAGTGGTCTTTTAAAGACCACACGAAGCCCACCCCAACCAAGTTCAATTTGAAGTATGCGGCTAGACCCTCCCCATTTTCAGGACATTAGAGGTGTAGCGTAGCATTAAGCATATGAAGTGCCTTTGATGGAGATAGTCGTAGCCAGTTCCCACTAGTCGCCTTTGCTCCTACAGGGGAAGGCTGCCGCAGAGGTGGAAATTCAGCTCTTTGTTGAGTGCTGCCCTAGGAAAGATGCAGCCGCGGAAAAAAAACTTGCCGAACAAGGTCAAAAATCGGGTTCACACCAGTTCTCGATACTCTCATTCATAAGAATTAGGAAAGGTAAGCGGATAGCGAGAACTAAACAAGAAAAAAGTATTCAGCTCTCAGAATTTGGCTTGCTTACTACTGGACTTGATTAGAGCCCTCACCATCCGTGGAATCGACTCCACAGGAACTTCAGGGGTACCCACTGATATTCGACTGTAAATTTCTTGGAATACATGGAGTTGCTCATCCATACTGGTAATCCTCCTCCCTCCAAATCATGCTTCAACTCATCTCAAAGGTGCTTGATGGGGTTGAGGTGAAGTCCATACTCGGTCATTTTGTAATCTGAATGCTGATCTTGGTATCGGAACCTAGATTTTCAGCGTTCTGTGTTGTGTATGCTTGGCTTCATTTTCACTGATTTGAAAACAGCTCTCCCAGGCGTGCTTCATTCATATCCACGATCTTTCGTTACAAAAGTCGATGGAAATCAAAAAATAATTTGATAGAGATTTCCGATTTCCGGCTCTGTCCCAGGCTCTTCCCCACCCCACCGCGTCTGCAATGAAGAGGATTGTATGGTGCAGGAGATTTGCCGGTCTTTCTAAAATGCTATGCATCTCCTAGGTGCCTGACGGACCATCTTCGGCGAGTTGCCGTGCTTCTGCCCTTTTTTCCTCATTCTACAGCACTCATTTGGAGTACCCGATTAATTTGAAACCAATTATCTCAATGATTGTGCTTAGACTACCAACGTCGCAATTCAACAGCGCTTGAATAAAAAATAAATGAATGCCGGGCTTAAGTGGATTCTGGGCAAGGTTCACTTCTCCTAACATGAATGATGTTGAAAAGGGTGGAACCTTAGCCGCTGATCAATCCTTTCGCGGGGAGCGACACGCATTCTTCATCCACTCAGACGGACAGTGGCTTATAGATGCGATGTGGCCTATACAATGACTTGCGGGGCCAGCCGATGTACAAGTCAGTGTTTTATCCTCCCAGACGAATCTGGTACCAATTTACCGTCCCCGGAGGGTAGAAGGCTTGGTTGGCCCGGTCGGCTGCCGATCCGAGATTTGATCTAGGACCATGCATGTGGTAAGCGTGCCTCACCATCTCCGCTAGCGTTAGGAGAGCATACCTCCAACAGGTCATTCGCGACAGACAGTGCCCAAACGAGTAAAGATATTCGAGATAGCCCTTTTCGTGCCGAAGAACTAATAGGCTGTTAAGCTATTAGGTTCCTAGACTGCATGAAAAATGTGGAAACAGCGATGGTCATGATGAAAGTGGTGATCGATCATGCCTGTCGTTGTAAAAATCGTTTCATATAATCCACACAATAGACCCTGGAAGTTCTACTGTTCTCCATCACACGAAGCTCAGCTGATCGCTTTCGAGCGCACCTTTGTAACCTCTCTCCTATATGATCTTTCTGTTATTAGGGCTTGTTAAGAACATCACTGAAAGATAACCACTACTGAAGAAACTGATATCGTTCCCACACTGATTATTCATCGGTACTGTTGCACTTCCTTTTTCTGATTCCGTTCCCTATCTTGTTAGCTCAACTGTATTGAGTGGTGTGCGAAAAAGGTGATCTCCGGACTAAGATGAGATTTTTAGTTCTATAACTGCTGTTTAAAGCCGCACTGCGCACCCTGGATCTTATCGCAAGAGTGCGGGGAGCTCGAACCCACACCTCCCTGCTACCAGGGATGAGCATTCGAGTCCTGCCTGGGGTCTGACTGTTGCCCACAACTCAGCACTCTTGTGAAGAGACGAGCACTTTTTGCGAAAGCGATACGTTCCTGAATATCTAATACGGAGGTGTTTTTAGCCTTCGTAGGGTCAGCGGATAGACCTATTGTTGAACAATGAGAGTAGATGATTGAACTAATCGTTCGAAGCTGTGATCCTGCTCATAAGAACTGGGATAAACGCGGCGCATTTTTATAACGATTTCACCCGCTTCGAAAACATTCAATCGTAACATGCACTCCGGTTCGCTGTGGATGAGAAAAAGGACGACGATTCGCCTCAGCGAAACCATTGATTGCTCGTTCTATTGGCTTCTGATAATGCGCTATAGTACACCACATTTCCTATCCTATTACTCGGCTAGCCTTTTTCTGCATGCACTCCCTTCCCTGTTGTCTACACCTCGTATCCTGGAAATTTGGAGGGAGCGGGCGTGGCTGGCCGTATTGTGCAGCGACATAGCTTGCGAACTGCATTTTTTGTAATACTCTCATTCTGAGACAACTGTCATCCTGCCTTCGAACAGGTATGTACACTCTGCATCCAACCATTAGATGAGTTGTAACTGCGGATTTAGTATCGCGCGTAACGGCCGGGTTGAGCATTCCTACTGCTTCCCGCTATTACTCCACATCGTCAGACTTCGTTTTCGTCAGCTGAGTGTCATTAGGTTCAAAATGCACCGCCAAATCTTTTCAATGGCAGAAACTACCAACTTCTTCAAGAATGTTGTCACGCGCCTCACTAGGTACGCAATTGACGACCCATACAGTCTCCCAGATAAAAGCTAGTAAATGGCTAACATTTGTCAGAAAGCAAGGCCACCATCCCATTCAAAAAGCGCAGCCACTGTCATAGTACAGGCATCGTTGTGTGAAAAACAGGGGAGGAGTCGCCTTTTTGGCTTGAGGAGGAGGAGCGGGGCTCGCACGTGCGTAGTCGTTGGGAGCAGCTGGGGGGGGGTTGCATTTTGCCTTTGAGATAAATTTGCCGCATGGGAAAAATGTTTAGTATGACTTTTCCATGCATTTTTCCTGTTTCATTCTGTCCTTAAGTTGTCCTCCCCCCCCCACCCCTTCCCCTCCTCCTTCTCGACAGCAAAATTTTTGAGTAGAAGTAGGGAAATTCTTGGGAAATTTTCGGAAAAGTGGTAGGGAATTAGGGAAAATCTAAGATCTAAGAAATTTTCACGTTTCACCCGGAAAAACTCACGGCGAAAATTGGAAAATGTGAGAAAGGTAGGTAGGCGCTTGGGAAGGGGGGTGGTGGTCGTACCAAGACCCTCCCTCAATAGGAGGGTCATACTGGCACCACCATCTCACACATCACGATGCTGTACCCTGGCCACCGCTAGTCCAGATGGAGTACGCTGCCACGCCTCCCGTATTTTAGAAGAAGGAGTGTAGATAATTTCGCTACAATTTTGATCTACCAAGATATCTTGTTGTTAAAACACGTGGGAGAATAAGGTTCAGTGCTCTCTTTTTGTGTTTTAATCCCTTTTTTAGCGCACCAGCGTTCCTTTTCCGCTACGTTGGTGCCTGCTGTACTCAACTATATGGCTATTTGCTTTTTTACCCGCGTTGAGTTTTGCGGTAGATCCGTCAAGATCTGCGCATTAACCTACCTTTGTTGTTCGCACACGGAAAAACATGAACGGAATCTCTAACAAACGCTGGTAATGTAGGCTCTGAGAAGATCGCAGTGTTAAAAGAACTATATGGGCGCTGATTGCAGACTGTGCAGTTTTGTTAGCGATTACAAATACAGAAGGGATATGAAAGGATAAAGTCTTCGCCGTTGATCAATCCCTTTGTGGGATGCGGCACGCATTCTACTTCCATTCAGAATCGTAGTGGCTTATTGAATGCGATGTGGCCTATACAATGACTTGCGGGGGCCAGCCGATGTACAAGTCAGTGTTTATCCTCCCAGACGAATCTGGTACCAATTTACCGTCCCCGGAGGGTAGAAGGCTTGGTTGGCCTGGGCGGGAGTCGACCCGGGATTTGAACCCTGGGACCACGCGAGTGGTAAGCATGCCACTACACCTTCTCCACCTCTACAAATACATAGTAATATGGGCCTAATATTCTGGGGGGAAAGGCGAGAGGTGACGCAGTCGGCGCAGTTCGACAACGGGGGGGGGGCATTTTGCATTTTCGATACTTCACTA